CGCAACATTTGAGGTGCTAACCCGTGTGAATGCGCTTAGTGTGTTGCTTCGCAAAACACATGACTCAAGTTCTTGATCAGTAACTTGTTAACAGTAGATGTAACCTGACTCTGCAGCATATACTAATGCTTATGAATACAATTGTGGATTTCATGAAATTGTAACGACATTCTTTTCTCAAGTTTCGCCATATGCTTTAGAAACAGATCCATATATATGTAAAATCTTCAAGTTTTCTCTTGCAACCTTATACGGCATGTAAAAGCTCTGTTTTTGCATTCCACTTATATTTTCTACTGAAACTGATACATAGATCTATCAAATTGGGTCCGTCCATTTTGTTACTGCAAGAAAATCTAACAACTCACATTATATTGTTCAATTAAGAAGAACTAGGAAGAATAATGAACATAAGGAATCAAGGATTATAGTAATTTTCTTTTCAAACTCAGTGATGATGATCAATTCACAAAAACTCAAATAGTTTCTTAAGATTTGGTGGTGATGACACTATTTTTTAATTGAGATTGTTGCAGCAATGGAGCAGTGTATTGTGTGGACCATCCATGCCGGCCCCGAAGGTTACAACCAATGATGCTTACCTCACTACATCTTTTACCTGATGATGATGTCAATATCTATGAGATTTGACCATATCTTTCTCCAACTTGAAAAATGTTGTTAAGTCTATAAAATCATCATATGGCTCAAAAGTCAAAACATGCAAGCGTTTTCGAATTGCGATTCTTGTTGAACACAGCAATCGCCAAAAAAGAAACGTCGTTTTATGCAGTTATAGCGGTTTCACCCCGGAAATCTTATAAAAAGTTGACAACAATTGATGAGACTATAAACTTCATCAGTCACATAACAAAACCAGCTAGCTTTAATACATTATTGATTCCAAAAGACATGTTTTCTAAACCTCTTAAAACTAACTCATCATCATTACAAACTCCCAAAAACAAAATTAAAAACCATAAAAACTCTACCCCGCCACTTCCGAAGCATATGATTACAACCGGATTAAGCTGCATATAAAAGATACTTTAATTAGTCAACAAGATGCTTAAATCAAATTCTTGGCTTTTCCTTTGTGGAATCGTTGTTTTCGCCATCTTCTAAGTCCTCCAAGCTATTAACCTCGGCGCTACGATGTGTCGCGGATGGATCACACGAATACCATCTTGACCAGAAAAGATAATTAAAGAAGTTGACGAAACTCAATGAAGCTAAAAGCCAGTAAAAGAGATCTAATCTATCTTTATTAAGGTCGTTATCGCCTAACCAACCTACTCTGGTCCCGGATCCATTACTAGACGTAACTCTGTTTACCGTCGAGACAAGAACAGAGCTGAGATAGAACCCGAAAGAGTAAGAACAGTAAGTCATTGCTGTGAGAAAAGATTGCATACTCTGTGAAGACTGTTTGTAAAAAAACTCCACTAATCCAACGGCTGTAAACATCTCTGATAAACCGAATATCAGAAACTGCGGCGCGATCCAGAAGATCGAAACCGTTATGTTCTGTTCCAAGAACGCTTCCCGTCTCTTCTTTTCCACTAAAGCGGCTGCGATCATTGAGAAAGAAGCTAGGAACAGTCCAGTGCCAATTCTCTGAAGAGGAGATATTCCGGAATCTTTTCCCGTTAATTTTCTAGCGAGTGGGACGAAGAACGTTTCGTAGAGAGGTACGACGAAGATGAGAATCATGTAAGGGATGGCTTGAAGAGAAGCTGGTGGGATTTGGAAAGTTTTTGTTATGTGTGTGTTCATGGAGCTTCCTTGCTGAACTGAGAAAGTCTGGAGCTGAGCTAGGATAGTGTTGAAGATGATGGTGCACGCGAATATCGGTATTACTGATAACAAAATCTTGACTTGACGGACCTGTTCGATTGTGCAGAGTCTCCATGGACTCTCCATTGCTTTGCCTTGCGTCTTGATGCAAGCCTTGTCAAGAAACCTGCATGTTTTTTTTTGGCGGTTAGTTAGTTCATTTTGGCGGGTATGGTAAAGAGATTAAAGACAAATTATTACCTGAATTTATTAGTATGGAGGAGAGGTTTGACATGAACGAGATCCGTTGAAGGTTGATGAAGCATGTTTGGGTTTGAAGGGCAAATCTGTTTTCGTTTAGTGATCGCGGCTACGAAGACCTGATCGGTCGAAGAATACAAGAAAAT